ACCATTTTCCATGGACAGTGACCGTGCCACATGAAACTGTGGCACGATATCACGTAAGGAACCTTCCCCAACTAATCAGGAGTCAAAGCGTCAAATGACAAGGCATTCCCCATTGACTATTTTGAAGGGAACAGTGTGCTTTTATCGAAAATAAGTCCCACAAGAAATGAATGGTTTTTGGATAGAGGACCCTTTACATGTTTCGTCTCCGATGACTGGAGGCTTACTTGAAACCTTTGTAAATAGGAGTGGTCAATTTCGCTCGTCGGTGGCAGAAATGAGAGCAAGCTCTGCACATTCTACGATTTACAGACAATCCTACATGCACTGGATATCACAGCAATCAGTCGTGCTGCGATCAGTGGTCCCCTCTGTAGCGTTCCCACCACTGGTTGTTTTCTTGTTAGGTTGATCACAACCTCGATCACCATTGGTGGAGCGAGGCAGCCAGAGGCGGGCTCATCCCACCCTCCTCATTCCGTCCCCGACCGCCTGCTACGCCATCCTACTATATATAATCCGCTAAGTATGTCTGTGTGTGTCCGTGCGTCTGTGTGTCACGAAATTCATAGCGCCCGTCCCATTAGCATTGAGACATTGGTTCCAAGAAGTGATGTAAGGGGCGTGACGGGAACACTATCGGTGGATGACAGCAGGTGATATCAGTTGATAAGATCCGATAAGAGGCGTTAGAAGGAGAAGGTTACCATATTCATAACGCGGGTGACAGCATCAGCTAGCTCTTGATTCCAAGATATGATGTAGAGTACGGGCCAAGAACATTATTTTTGGGTGACAAACTGCGAGCTGCTGATGAGATTCGATAAGGGGCTTCAGAAGGGGAAGCGTCACCATATCATAACGCGGGTGACAGCCTCAGCGAGGCGTTCATTTCAGCAGATGATATCTAGGGTGAGATGGGGACAACAACCGTGGGTGGCTGGAAGCGATAACTACTGATAGGGGCTGATAAGGGACGTTCAGCCGGCGTCGCTGTTCATGGCGGTGCAGCTTTTACATTACCAAATTTTAAGGATTTAGTGACGAGGACATTGATGACGGGTGGCAGGTAATCATATCATTCGATTAGAATGGATAAGATACCATCTGCGCTACATTTTTATCACTCCTTACCGCTTGAATGGCCGAGCAGTTGAGCCTCAGTGTGTGGAAGGCTTTCCTTCGATATGTTCGATCTTAGGTAGAGCGTTGTTGAATACGTGAAACTAGTGTCGAGCAATGGGGGGAAGGGGTATACAGTGCGGCTGAAACGGGAATATCGAGAAATTCATATCAGTCAAAAACTTCTCAGACATCTGCCTGTCATATGATGTGCAAGTTGTGTTAGGTGGTGAAGTTCGCAGCTGAAGCAAAATAAGGAAGGAACCCACAACTGGGAGTGGGGACGTTTCCTCGGTGCTGACATTCGACCTCTCCGTATGACACGTACTTTGACATGTACAAGGCAAGTGTAGTTCTCTAGTGCCACCCAACATTCCTAGCAGTTATGCCTCTCCCGGTTGTTAAGCACTCATCCGGACTAATTCAACTTTACCCATTCTAATGTCACAACTGCCATCCTTGATGATATGGCTCAGCCTTCACGGTTGAAAGTCTGTAGTAACCAAGAGGGACCATATGTTGGTAGATAATGACTGATGTTCGGCTTTTTCAACTCATTTTCCTACATTTTATTAAAAAAATAACCGCCATTCGCTTGGCACATTTAGCGCGCATTCTACACGGGAGAGGAGTCTGCGAACCAGGCACCCGTGAAACGGAAGGAGGAACATCCGGCGGCAGCCGGGTGATCCGACTGGTAAACGGAATAATCCGCCAAGGAGTGTGCAGATGTATGTGTTCGTGTGTGCCGCCGCCAGTCTTCCACGAACTACACAGCGCACTGCGCCACAATAATGGAGTCTTTCCATCAGGTAATACATTGGTGGGACAGGGACATTGTTGCTGAATGTGATAACAGTTGATGTGATGGTAGAGCGCGTTAGAATGAAAGTGTTGCCGAATTTAGTTGCGCGATCACAACAACAGGTGTTATTTCCAGGAAGTGAAATAGAAGCAGGGGCGGGAACATAACTGGTGCTGGATGGAATGAATTGGTGACAACTGACGAGATCTGATAAAAGACGTTAGAAAGAAATGGGCACAACATCTGTGGCCTTCGTCACCAGAACATTAGTGAGTATGGGACGGGAACATCGACGGTTGGTGACAAAAATTCACGACAGACCAAAGCGTAACAATAATGGTATCGGCTAACCGGCTAAACACGAACAACATGACTCGAGTACCGAACTCCAACCCTCCATACCCTTTTAATATAATAATTACAACACATGCGACCACTAAACGTGAGTCTCGGATGCGCGGTGGATATTTACAGAGATGTGATGAGAAGCAGTAAAAAAGTTTCATGGTTAAAAATCGTATTTTCCTCGTCAATATTTCAAGGCGTACTTCATTAGTATACCAGTTTCGGCTAACGCCCCAATTACTCGCGCATAGTTAAGACCCCAGTAGTTGGATAATTGAGGGGGTTTCTCTGCTGAGCACAACACTCGGCCTAATCCCCTTGTATCGGAATACGGCCCATTTCATCGTGCTTCTCCCTTTTAATGAACTTGCCAATGACTGGGCTTATCACGTTTTTGACAACACTCGCCATTCGTTGGAAATAGGAAAGCTTATTGAAAGAGTTTCGGGGGTAATAACAGACGCAGAGTGAAATGTCCTCACATCCTAGTAACTTTTCTTTCTGTTAGAAACAACTCGAGAGTTTAGCGGTCGACAATTCCGGCTATATCGCTAAGGGATAGAAACATTTTGGCACACTAAGCCTTTGCCCACAGTTTCTTTGGCCAAGGTGATGTGACCATATACGAACTCCTAGAAGCCCTTGTCGGACACGACCTGAACTCATCTCCCACTGCTATTGTTACCTTACTTGCTGGGGGCAATTCTCCAGTATGGCTACAACTATGCTGCGAATTTTTGGGGCTATCTTATCAGCTGTTATCACGTCCTGCCACCAACCAATAATGTTCCCATCTTGCCCACTATCTTACTCCTTGGAACCGAAGTCCTAGCGTCGCTGTGAAGCACGTTATCAAGTTGATGACCCTTCGCTTCTAAGACTCCTTTTGGTATCTTATCATCTGTTATCACTTCCTGCCACCCACCACTAATGTTCCCATCCTGCCTCCTATCTTACTGCTTGGAACCAACGTCCCGACGTTGCTGTGGCCGGCGCTATGAATTTAGTGGCCCTTCCCTTCTGAGGCTCCTTATGTTATCTTATCAGCTCTTATCACTTCCTGCCACCCATCACTGATGTTCCCATCCTGCTCCCTGTCTTATTGCTTGCAACCAGCGTCCCGACGTTACTGTGGCCGGCGCTATGAATTTAGTGGCCCTCCCTTTCTAAGGCTCCTTATGTTATCTTATCAGTTCTTATCACTTCCTGCCAGCTTAACAATAAAAAGTGTACCATGCCACTCCATAAAAACACATTATCCAGTATATAGAGCAACAACATCACAATAAATATAAAAAGAAATATGAAATATATCCAGATCAAACCACATAACAAGACAAAAAAACACAAACATACAAAAATATCACAACAAACAAAAACCACACAAAAACAACACAAAAGAACAAAAAACTTAGCGATTATAATTAGTAGGATACTACAGCCCACACTCCCTCCCCCTTCACTTATGCAATTTTTTGGGAGAAAGTGGAGAATTCGTGTAAAAAATAACTCGAAGAATGTAGAAGTCGAGAAGGATTTAGAAGATGGTGGTAAAGGGGGATGCTAAGGAGGTGCGGGGAGTTGTCTTCCAGAGAAAAAAAAAGCGGTTCCTAGCGGAAGTGCAAGTTAGTAGGATTCTTGAGATAAACATAAAAAATTTTTGTAGGCACGTCCCGCTACCAAAAATGGGGTTGAAATATTAATGAGAAGGTGGTAAGCAACTCAACAGTGAAGAAAAAACAAAAAAAGCAGGTCGGAATTGCCCTGGCTATGATTCGCGCAGATACGAATTTGTGCGAGAATACGGTGTAGAAAAGACGTGCTCGGACGAACTTCCAAGGGGAGTAGGTGGGTACGCGGGGGGGGGGGGTTTCTGATACTTCTCATTGACGTGTCGAGCCATCTAAGGAGCTATTTTACGACCTTGCAAGAGTGTTTCACCATGGCGGTCGACGAGCTGCTAAAACTTCACAAGAGTTCACAGATTTCACCTGAGTGAGACTTGTAAACCGGAACAAGTGAAGCAGCCAAAATGCAAAATGCTCCCCCGTCGCCGAACTGCGCCAAGTTTGCATAGTTTATTATGCTGATTTCCATTATCACCTCACTCTCCTCATTTGGAATAGGAAGAGCTAGTAGCGGAACAACTGCATCATCAGATGGTTGTCACAGTGATTGTTAGGTGGGGCATGGGATAGTAGGCGAGACAACCCTTCGCTGATGTCGTCATCAAATTACATTATTCATGACCGCGAGTTGCAAATCTTATCTGCGGACAGGGCCTCCTTGTTCCAGAGCACTTTCACGTCAGTAAGTGATAGTTCAGCAGCGGTAAAGCAGAAGGTTGCTGAAGTGCCCTCAATGCTGAATGTGGCGTCAGGCAAGTAGGGTCCTATTTGGTTGTTTCTGATGCTTTCCTCTCCTTTCTTCTTCATAGCCAAGCCACTAGCGCACCCAACATACACAATAGGAAGAACGGAATAATAGAACATCTCTTATCTTTGTCAGTAGGAGTAAGATTTGGTGTGCCGTAAATGATTATGAGAGTTCCTGGTGGCTATTGTGACACCCATGTGACCACTGCGTCCAGCCAGATTGGTAACTTGTAATTTTAGAGCAGTTGCAATTTCGGACTTTCGGGCTTTCTAGAGTATGAGCCGACGTAGAAGCTACAATGTTTTCATCCAGTACTACCAGTTCTAGATGACTTTAGAAACTAATTGGTAGGTTATAACGGACTGGTTGCATTGCTAAAAGAAGTTAGGGCCACACAATGGCGACTCTTATTCGTTGTTGCGCTATTCCCATTGGCTCTGGAGACTGTCGCCTTCAGACGATCGTCCACAGCATCCTTTCCCAACTTTTGGTCAATTCGCTCGATCTCCGTGGAGTTTGGGTTCTGTTGGACTCGTCCCTCGCCGTATTTCGTCGCTGAAATTGATGAACGGCGAACATCGCTGCGGCGGCCAACGAGCCAGAAAGTCTCCATCAGTCCTTTACCCTGGAATGCAATTAAAATTAAAATGTAATTCTAACAAATCCGTGCGAACATTGTACTCGGGCAGGTACAGCATGGGGATGGCTTTTGTTTATGTGAGGTACGACCCCAGCCCTCGAAGGGGTCCAGATACGACCCCCTTCCTAGCTCTAACTGGAAAACCAGATGGGATTGTTCACACGACAATGCTCTCCTGAAATTTTCCATTGTAATTTAGAAATGCGGAATCTCTCTAAATCCAGCAAATTTGTTTTTCTTGTTCATTTTCAAAATGAGAACAACAGCCTGCATTCTCCTACAATTTTGTCTCAGGATTCAGAATAAAAACTCATCTCTTCGACAACATGTATCGACATGCATATCGTTGTTTCTATAGTATATTGTTGCAATTCTGTTGGATGGACTATTGCGACATATGATCATTGATAACTGAATTATGGTGTGGGAAAGGTGGGGGGTTTGGGTGTGTTGGGTGAATAGCCCCAAGGTCGCTGGTCAGGCCCCAGAGCGGATTCAATGGGTGACGGGGCGAAAAATCATGAAAATACACATAACATGAAAAAACAACAAAAATGCGGAACCCAACTAAAAAAGATGGATATCCAGGCCAGCAGGAATATGCTCGGCTTATTAATCGAATCGCCAACGTTGCGACCCGCTTCATTGGAAGACCTCACTGTTTTTGGGTGGGGGCGGCGGTGGTTTGGTTGGTTATGCTGCAACGTCCTGGGTCTTCTGGTGGGGGGCGGGGTGTGGGTAGGGTTTGGAAGGGTTATATCTTTGGTGAGATGGGCGGGCTTTGAATATCTGTTTGCAGCTATGTGCAAAGGGCCAATTGTTGTGCCCTCTGTTTGCGTTTGTCTACCTAGTTGCATATCTGTATGTTCCGTCGTGCATCTTTCGGGTGGGTTCGTTTTTTTGCTAAGACTAAATGCGAGGCGATTTTATGCATTAAGCCGAGGATTACCTATTTCGAATGCAATTTCATCAGAACCAGATCGTCTTCAGAGCGCCTCATATTTTCTCTTTCCAACAAGTTTCAAAGTTTTCCTGAAGACCCCGCCAGGAATATTTTAGATGGTCACCAGAAACTCACCTCTGAGCTAACTTGCAAAAAAAAAAAAAAAAAAAAGAAAAAAAAACAAAAAAAAAACAAACACGATTCAGACTCCCTGTCTCCAATTGCAGGATACCACCCTTCGAACACTTGTGCCTTCAACACACATATTTCCTTGAAATGATTGAAGAGAAGGTCCGCGTTATCATCGACGATTCTTGGTCCGAGTGTGCGCGGCATTACCTCTACGCAGAGGTGGAAAGGTTGTAAATTCTGATTCCAGGATGCTTTTGTCCATGCAAGCAGATGTTTGTTTGGGGTTCTGGAAAGGATAATACGCACGAATCTGCTTGAGACGTATTATTCAGTCATCTACGTACTTACGAGTTCATGCTATTAAATGATATTGTTTGTTTATATATTTTGTTATATTACTTATCAATCTTTTATTGTTTTGTAGTCCTCCTTACAGCCGGGTGTTCTGCAGCTTTCCGTCCGTTCTATAAAAACTTGAGCAATACACTATTTGCACTGTATGTGCTTAACGGAGCCTACGATTTTGCCGATTGACTCCCGCCGTCTCCACGGCCAGGTACGATCCCCTTTCTGGTGATTTCGCATGAAAAGATAGCTGTTAAACGGAGCAGGTAAATCTGTAAACAAGACTTGGCTTCCATAGCTCCACTCCCACTATCAACTGAAATGTCAAAGCATTGCCCGGCTCTGAGTGACCCTTGAGATTACGACCCCCCTCCCCAGCGGCCAAGTACGACCCCCCTATGGGTTTCGCACAACGATGCTGTACCCTGTTGGTATCAGCATGTCCTGCTCTATCCCCGTTTCCTTTCTATGGAATACTCGACATTCCGTAGAAGGAAACTCTGATCAAAAAGGGGGTATGTCATCCCAGGCTTCTACTCAAGCAGCTAGAGCTAACTGTGAGAAAAATAATGACCTACATTCTCGTTCGCTGCGGATGCTGCAGTGTGTCAAGGTGGCCGGGTTTGGCCGCGCCCCAGTCCATTTCCCACTAGTCGTGGTCCCATGCCTGCCTCCACAATTGGTGGAAAATACCAAGGTGCTATCGTCTGACACTCCACCATTTGCGGACGAACAAGGCTGTACAAACATCAAATCGTGAATGATACCTTGATTATAACTTCTCCTCTGGATTCTACTTCAAAGCCTCCAACTGCCATAAGAAGTTGTTGAGCTTCAGATGATAGGTGAATTCTGCCGGCTGAAACGAAGCAATTTGAATAAACATTTCGCGACTGTCTGAGGGGCGCTCTGCTTTTTTGTGTACAAAAAGTGCAATTTCACACACACTCAAAGAGCGCCACTTTTTTTTACTCGGAAATGCACAGCAAGAATGCTAGAAGGCTAAAATCGTCATAAGTATCTCCCATACCTAGTTGAAATGTCCAAGAACGACCGCGATCTGCGTCCTTAATCGCTGATGTGCAGATTTTTGAGTCATTTGCTTTCTTAGCAAAAGAAGGAACAAGCGATGTTTCTCAGATGAGCTTCCCAGCGGTCTACGGACAACTTTAACTCAATTCCTTTGAACGCGTCGAATCTGTGTTTTTCTCTGCTCTCTCTCGCCCGAGTGGCACTCTATGGTCATTGTGACTTCGCACATTCCAGCTTTTCACGTACGATAAGTGGCTCACCCACCCCGGAGTCCCCTCCCCTTGAAAAGTTCGTTTCCTGGCTCGCCATAGTTTCTTGCACGTCTCGATGCTTTGGCACGCGCTGTCTTCTTTCTGTCGCCGCGTCAGAAGAGACCTCTCTATGCACTGCTGCAGTTTGGTCCCTCCAGACTAATATAGCCTCGACTTTTTTTCCAGAGGTTTGAAGAAGGGCGTCCTGAAGAGTGGTGGAGAGAGATGTCTTTTACCCGCGCGTCTTTGAGACGAATCCTAGATGGAATGGTATAGAACCTACTGTGACTTTTACCTGGTTGTATGATTGGCGACTGACTCGCTCCGGGCGACAGATACGGTCCTCCTCTCGCTTCAAGTACTTGCACCAGCTAGATTGTACTGCTCAAATGACACAAATGCCACTACCATTCTGAACGCGACGTGGCGAAGTTTATAGGGTACTAATAATGGTTGCATGTCCATGCCTATGCCATGTGACAGATTTTTTGCTGTGCAATGCATTTTAAATCGTAAATTTTCGATGAACTAATACTTAGAAGAGCACATATTTAAACTGTTAAAGGCAGCACCCGCGATTATTCGCCTATCCCAGATAGTGGATTAGGGGGTTCCATATAGACGACAAGGGGTTGAGTAACTCGACAGTGAAGAAAAAAGCACAAAAAACATGCCACCTGCCCTAGATAGAACCCATTTCGATCCCAGTTTGTACGTGCCCAATTAACTCTATCTCCCACACTACGCCCTCATACGCACAGCTGATTCACCGATAAGAACTCTACGATCGTACAAGTGACGATTTTCATGCTTTTTCGTCCTGCAATCTCGTTTTTCACTGAAAGCCGGGCATTGGAGGCGGAGTCTGGGGGCGGAGTCACTGGGAGAAAGGAGGAACCATTGAACCTATATAGCGCCCCTCACTTAGGATTTTTTTTGCGAAACCCGTACAAGGTTGTTCGTCGCGGACCACTCTAACCTCCTGACGCCATATTTTCAACTTCGATACCTGATCGCGGACCGTGCCTTTAAACGTCAGTATTAGCTGCGAAATTCAACTAAAAATGCAACCAAATGGAACTAACGTTTCCCGTTGCTTTCCATTCTACTCGCCGTATTCACAGTATCACCAAAGAGGCAGTATCGAGGCATGGTCAACCCTACCACTCCTGTTACTACAGAACCTGAAAATAAAATATAGCATTCATCTCCCGAAAATGAAGAGCTTGGTCTTTTTGAAGATCTAGATTTGCAAGAAAATACAGTGCACTGCATGGCAACGGTTTGTGAACATCTAAACTCATTCTACGGATAAAGAAGGGATTTTCTTCAGGTGAACCTTGCTGTTGAGTTCT